TGATTGGCCAGCTATCCAGTGCGTTGTGATTGGCCGAATACCTCAAGCATGTCATGGAAATGTTACGCCCCTTACCATACTGTGATGCCATGTCCCGGCCGGAGCAATGAGACAAAAACATTAAAACCCATTATAAACGAGGCATTTGTTGCATCCAGTGGGGACATAATTATGGATTATAATGACTTATACTGTCTTTTTTACGCGTTGTGTTGCATCACGCCACATAAACAAAACCATGTCTGCATTTGTGATCGGAGAAATTACAAATGGCAAGCGCTATTCTACACTGCTCAAAACCCGGCGAGCTTGTGGCAACCACATGTGCCGAAGTTGATGAATTTCCTCAGCGACCAGCACGGATCAGCTCCAGGCATGACGAAGCGGATATCATCCTATTTTGGAAGGCCAAACAAAGTAGTTTCACTTACACAACGAAACACACAGCATTTTCCCGATATGGTGGCAGCAACAATGCTACAGCGAGAATAAAAGTTAAGCCTTCTTTGAGTGAACATTTGGGCGGCGTTATGCAAATCTTCCCACATCGTGACGTAGACATGTGGGGGCGTGTTAGAACGAGACGTTTTAGGTAGGCGTGGCTGACTCTTAACTTTTACAAAGAATATCTCTTTGGATTTGAGTCTTTAGTCTTTGCAACTTTACAGATCTTCTTTATGCACCAAGAGCTTGCAACACTTCAAAGAGAAAGGAAAATTTTAAATCGCATCATATGACCCCTTTAAAACAAAAAGGCTTATGATCATGAATTTTTGATTTCCAAATAACTAATATAGCCACATGTTGTTACATGTAAGTAATACTTCTTGCATTATCTTCTTTCATTTCAGATTGGAAGGCTGTAATCTCACTGAACAATCATGTGAAATTGTGGCATCGGCTCTACAGCATGCAAACTCCCCTGTTAGAGAGCTGGACATGAGTAACAATGACCTGCAGGACTCAGGTGTTAAGCTCATTTCTGTTGGACTTAAGAGTTCACACTGTAAACTGGAGATACTGAGGTTAGTTGCAGGTTGTTATTCAATGCTATCGTTTGTAAAGATTGTTAATGCAAAATGTGCACGTAGAGATCATGTTGGGAATGAAACATAGTCTATTGATTGTCCAATGTAAATATTTAAGGTTTCATGCATGAGTAATGACATATCAAGTGCTTTTCCCCACCAAATCATTTTGTTTTCACCTAATTTTATGTGATGACGTTTCAGTAAAATGAAGCTGTGAGATGTAAAATATATTATGAATAATTAAAAATGCTTCATTATAATAGTCATCACAGTAATATATTTGTAATATTTTTCCTGTGTAGATTAAAAGGCTGTAAACTCACCATGCAGTCCTGTGAAACTTTGGCTTCAGCTCTGCTATCAGAAAATTCATGCCTGAGAGAGCTGGACCTCAGTAACAGTGACCTGCAGGATTCAGGAGTGAAGCGGCTCGCTGTTGGCCTGAAAAGCCCACACTGTAAACTGGAGATATTGAGGTGAACTACATATATTTTTATACATTAGATATTGGAAAAGAATAGCATTATCTATAAACATAGCAAAGAAAATAGTGTACAACATGGTGGCAGGATTCATTCATCCAGAAAGGAAGTGAATACTAAATAATAGTACCCAAACAGCAGTTAGTAGTAATGAATAGAAGATACAAATGAAATGATCATTGTCAAGTCAAGTCACCTTTATTTATATAGCGCTTTTAACAATACAGATTGTGTCAAAGCAACTGTACAGCATTAAATAGGAAAATAGTGTGTCAATAATGCAAAATGACAATAGTAAACACTCGATTTTCAGTAGTTCATGATTGAATTCAGTGATGTCATCATCCAGCTCAGTTCAGTTTAAGTAGTATCAGTGCAATCAAGTCGATGATATCCCTAGAAATTAAGTGTCCCCAACTAAGCAAGCCAGAGGCGACAGTGGCAAGGAACCAAAACTCCATCGGTGACAGAATGGAGAAAAAACATTGGGAGAAACCAGGCTCAGTCGGGGGGCCAGTTCTCCTCTGGCCAGACGAAATTAGCAGTTCAATTCCAGGCTGCAGCAAAGTCACTTTGTGCAGAGGACTCAACTGGTTCCTGTGGTCTTGTTCTGGTGGCCGTCTAGGAGACAAGGTCTTCACTGGGGATCTGTCTCTGTGGCTCATCTAGTTGTCCCTGACATTCAGGACTGTAGAGGTCCTCTCTAGGTGCTGATCCACCATCTGGGCTGGATATGTACTGGATCCGGGTGACTGCAGTGACCATCTGATCTGGATACAGACTGGATCTGGTGGCTACGGTGACCTCGGAATAAGAGAGAAACAGACTAATATTAGCGTAGATGCCATTCTTCTAACGATGTAGCAAGTATATCGGGTTTTATGGGAAGTGTTCCCTGTTCCGGTTGTCCTAATTAATGCAGCCTAAAAATCCTTTAACGCATTTGAATATTAGAAATGTGTTAGCGTGTTATGTGTAAACCAGGTTAAAGAGATGGGTCTTTAATCTAGATTTAAACTGACAGAGTGTGTTTGCCTCTAGAACAATGTTAGGTAGGTTATTCCAGCGTTTGGGCGCTAAGTAGGAAAATAATAATAAAAAAAAGAGAACAGCAATAGACGCGAATGACAAGCTAACCAGCTAACGAATGTTAACGCGGTTTTAGAATAAAAGCGAACGAGCAAATTAATCCGATTAGTTTGATAGATAATATCAGATATATGGTGGGAATTAAGTTATATTTTACCACTTTAAACAACAGAGAGTGATAGTAAGATAGAGATTCAACAAAAAAAAAGCGAAGCTACACGGAGCTACAATCACAAAACAGCAGCACGGCAGACAGGAAATGTTACTGTATTCGTTTTTGAAGCAGTGTAAAAATTGTGTAAACACAGCACATACTTGAATTAAATCAATTGAATTAAATAAAATGAAATAATATAAGCATACAAAATGTCATAGCATTGTTTGCTTGTTTATAGTATAAGAAAAAATGGTTTTCCAACCTGAAAACAAATTAACATTGGACTAAAAAGGACTATATAAAAATGAACTGCAAAAGCAAATACTATTTTAAGATTTATTAAACAAACAGAACGTTTTAGAAAGACAAAAGCAACTTCACAAATTCTTTTATTTTGTAGCCTGGCTGGCTGTAAACTCACCGACCAGTCAAGTGAAACACTGGGCTCAGTTCTACTTTCAGTGAACTCCTGCCTGAGAGAGTTGGACCTGAGTAATAATGACCTGAAGGATTCACGTCTGGAATGGCTCTCTGCTGGACTGAATAGCTGTAAACTGGAAAAACTAAGGTTTGTGAAGCATTGTCTGAAGCATTGCAGCGCAACTGGATATGTGACAGTATTAGACATGCAGTAAAGCAAGATTTTGATAAATCAAGATATTTAAATATTTTTATTATGTTGTTAATATCACCAGGACATCACATATTATTACATAGTGTGAAACATAACTGTTTATTTTAGATTGGCCAGCTGTAACCTGACTGGTCAGTCCTGTGAAATGATGGCTTCAACTCTACAATCAGTTAACTGCCTTCTGAAGGAGCTGGACCTGAGTGACAATGACCTGCGGGATACTGGAGTGGAGATTTTCTCAACTGGACTGAAGAGTCCTCACTGTATACTAGAGATACTGAGGTTTGTATTTCAGTTTCATTGATATGTTGTTACTTAAACTGTCTTTAAATATGTTTTGTAATGTACTGTATATGCACAGAAGTGTGTTTGTTCTGTTCTTTCATGCTCAAAATAGTTACTCCAAACATATGGAGTAGCAATCTACATTATGTTTAGAAAATTGCTGCAATATTGGTGTCCACACATCAGTCATTTCTGCTGCTATGCATGTTCAGTGGGTGTCTAATTATTGTTTTATCGTTCTGAACAGAATGTCCACTTGTAATCTCACTGATCAGTCCGGTGCGACTGTGGCTTCAGTTTTACAACTAGCAAAATGCCCTTTGAGAGAGCTGAACTTGAGGGCAAGGAACCAAAACTCCATCGGTGACAGAATGGAGAAAAAACATTGGGAGAAACCAGGCTCAGTCGGGGGGCCAGTTCTCCTCTGGCCAGACGAAATTAGCAGTTCAATTCCAGGCTGCAGCAAAGTCACTTTGTGCAGAGGACTCAACTGGTTCCTGTGGTCTTGTTCTGGTGGCCGTCTAGGAGACAAGGTCTTCACTGGGGATCTGTCTCTGGGGCTCATCTAGTTGTCCATGACATTCAGGACTGTAGAGGTCCTCTCTAGGTGCTGATCCACCATCTGGGCTGGATATGTACTGGATCCGGGTGACTGCAGTGACCATCTGATCTGGATACAGACTGGATCTGGTGGCTACGGTGACCTCGGAATAAGAGAGAAACAGACTAATATTAGCGTAGATGCCATTCTTCTAACGATGTAGCAAGTATATCGGGTTTTATGGGAAGTGTTCCCTGTTCCGGTTGTCCTAATTAATGCAGCCTAAAAATCCTTTAACGCATTTGAATATTAGAAATGTGTTAGCGTGTTATGTGTAAGCCAGGTTAAAGAGATGGGTCTTTAATCTAGATTTAAACTGACAGAGTGTGTTTGCCTCTAGAACAATGTTAGGTAGGTTATTCCAGCGTTTGGGCGCTAAGTAGGAAAATAATAATAAAAAAAAGAGAACAGCAATAGACGCGAATGACAAGCTAACCAGCTAACGAATGTTAACGCGGTTTTAGAATAAAAGCGAACGAGCAAATTAATCCGATTAGTTTGATAGATAATATCAGATATATGGTGGGAATTAAGTTATATTTTACCACTTTAAACAACAGAGAGTGATAGTAAGATAGAGATTCAACAAAAAAAAAGCGAAGCTACACGGAGCTACAATCACAAAACAGCAGCACGGCAGACAGGAAATGTTACTGTATTCGTTTTTGAAGCAGTGTAAAAATTGTGTAAACACAGCACATACTTGAATTAAATCAATTGAATTAAATAAAATGAAATAATATAAGCATACAAAATGTCATAGCATTGTTTGCTTGTTTATAGTATAAGAAAAAATGGTTTTCCAACCTGAAAACAAATTAACATTGGACTAAAAAGGACTATATAAAAATGAACTGCAAAAGCAAATACTATTTTAAGATTTATTAAACAAACAGAACGTTTTAGAAAGACAAAAGCAACTTCACAAATTCTTTTATTTTGTAGCCTGGCTGGCTGTAAACTCACCGACCAGTCAAGTGAAACACTGGGCTCAGTTCTACTTTCAGTGAACTCCTGCCTGAGAGAGTTGGACCTGAGTAATAATGACCTGAAGGATTCACGTCTGGAATGGCTCTCTGCTGGACTGAATAGCTGTAAACTGGAAAAACTAAGGTTTGTGAAGCATTGTCTGAAGCATTGCAGCGCAACTGGATATGTGACAGTATTAGACATGCAGTAAAGCAAGATTTTGATAAATCAAGATATTTAAATATTTTTATTATGTTGTTAATATCACCAGGACATCACATATTATTACATAGTGTGAAACATAACTGTTTATTTTAGATTGGCCAGCTGTAACCTGACTGGTCAGTCCTGTGAAATGATGGCTTCAACTCTACAATCAGTTAACTGCCTTCTGAAGGAGCTGGACCTGAGTGACAATGACCTGCGGGATACTGGAGTGGAGATTTTCTCAACTGGACTGAAGAGTCCTCACTGTATACTAGAGATACTGAGGTTTGTATTTCAGTTTCATTGATATGTTGTTACTTAAACTGTCTTTAAATATGTTTTGTAATGTACTGTATATGCACAGAAGTGTGTTTGTTCTGTTCTTTCATGCTCAAAATAGTTACTCCAAACATATGGAGTAGCAATCTACATTATGTTTAGAAAATTGCTGCAATATTGGTGTCCACACATCAGTCATTTCTGCTGCTATGCATGTTCAGTGGGTGTCTAATTATTGTTTTATCGTTCTGAACAGAATGTCCACTTGTAATCTCACTGATCAGTCCTGTGCGACTGTGGCTTCAGTTTTACAACTAGCAAAATGCCCTTTGAGAGAGCTGAACTTGAGCAAAAATGACCTGCAGGACTCAGGAGTGAAGATGCTCTCAGGTGGCCTGAAGAGTTCACACTGTAAACTGGAGATACTCAGGTGTTTTAAAAGCTTACATTTCAATATAGATATTTACACTAAATAGTTTATACTGTATTATTTTATACATTCAGATTTTTATATCTTCGATAATTCTCATGTAAACATATTTAAATGTGTGTCTCTGTAGACTGTCTGGCTGTTTTATCACAGAGGAAGGCTGTTCTGTTTTGGCCGCAGCTCTTACTTCAAACCCCTTACACCTCAGAGAGCTGGACCTCAGCTGCAATCATCCAGGAGATTTGGGTGGTCAGCTGCTCACTGCTAGATTGAATGATCCAACTTTCAAATTGGAGACCCTCAAGTATGTTGCACAGGAAGACTTTTCTTTTCTTGTTCACTTCAGATACTGAGATGCTTTAAATAAGTGGAAGGGACCCTTGAAGGGATAGTTCACTGAAAAATTTAAATTTGCCATTTTAAAATTTACTTGCCCTCTTGCCATCCAAGATGTAGGTGACTTTTTTTTATTCAGTAGAACATTAAATACGTTTTTTTTTGCTTGAAACCGTGGTCCTTGATGATTCATAAAATTCAAGTCACAAAAAAGAAGCAACACAAGAAACAAAACAAAACAAAAAATACCTGTGGCTCCTGATGATATATTGAGGTCTTATGAAGTGAAATGATCAGTCTGTGCAATAAACTGAACATTATTACCTGTATTTCATAACCTTGGGCAACAGGGAAGTCTGATTATTTTTCGCAAACTGGTACTTTCTGACATTTTTTTGTAACATACGCAATTATACTATTGAAGCACCCAATAATGATGTGAAACGTGGATGATTTACATGTCTAAAGCATATACAATGAATGAAGTAGTCTTAATCAACTCACCTTTTTACATAAACAGTGAGAAACCGTACTAAAATGACCAACAATCAAACCAGTTTTTTCCAGCATGATATGCCACATTGCAGCCATGTGTTATATCCTCTGCAATATAACACACATAACCTACCTACAAGTTTGTGAAATTGTGTAACAACAATAACATAATAACAGTTTTTTTTTTTAAATTTTTTTTGACAAGCATCTTGTGAGTGAATATTTTGTGAATTAGTTTTTTTGTGTGGAAATTTTTCTGTTTTTTCAATTTCAATTTCAAGCTTTTATTGTCATTGCATCGGCATGCAATGAAATTTCAGAGACTACACACAGAGGTGCTACAATATGATAACCACATACACATAGACCACAATAACGTAAGCAAAATCCATGTAAAAACCGTGAATGATGCAGGTAAGACAATAAAGTGCAGTTCTAAGTACAGAAATTATTGCACAGTCCACAAGAATTAACATAAATAAATAGTGCAAAGCATCCCTTAGTTCAGGGACTGAATGGCTCTTGGATAAAAACTATTTGAAAATCTGGCAGTGCGTGTTTTGATTGACTTGTATCGTCTTCCCGAAGGTAGGGGGGAAAACAGATGATGACCGGGGTGAGAGGAGTCCTTAACAATGTTTTTTGCTCTGGATGGGTACTGAGTGTTTGCAATGTCCTGTAGTAAGGGGAGAGGGCAGCCAGTGATATTCTGCGCAGTCTTTATGACCCTCTGTAGAGCTTTTTCGTCAGCTCCTGAACAGCCCCCATACCACACCGTAAGACAGTATATTAAAACACTCTCTATGGCAGAGCGGTAGAATGCCACCAGTAGTTTTTGACACAGACGGTTTTTCTTTAGGACTTGCAGGAACTGCAGATGCTGCTGTGCCTTTTTAACAGCCGCTGTTGTATTTGTGGACCAGGAGAGACTGTCAGATAAATAGATTCCCAGAAATTTAAAACGGCAAACTCTTTCCACATAGTCTCCATTTATAATGATGGGAAGGGGGTCAGCTTTGCACTTCCTGAAGTCCACGATGAGTTCTTCAGTTTTCCTTGTGTTTAGCACCAGGTTGTTTTCAGAGCACCACAACGTCAATTTCCTGCCCTCGTCACGATAGGCAGATTCATCACTTCCAGAAATGAGTCCGATCACTGTGGTGTCATCAGCAAATTTTCTAATGTGATTGGAGGAGTGTGTGGAGGTGCAGTCATAGGTATAAAGGCAATAGAGTAGTGGGCTCAGCACACATCCCTGTGGTGAACCGGTGCTGAGAGTGAGAGTGGAGGAATGGTGAAGACCGAGCTTAACACACTGAGGGCGGTTAGTGAGAAAGTCCATAATCCAGGTACAAAGATGAGCAGAAAAGCCCAAGTGAAGGAGTTTCCTCATAAGAATGTCCGGTATGATGCTATTGAACGTAGAACTGTAATCGATGAAGAGCATCCGGACGTATGTACCTCTGTGTTCCAGGTGCTCCAGAGCTTTGTGGAGTGCTGTAGCAATAGCATCCTCTGTAGACCTGTTGGCCCTATAAGCAAATTGGTAGGGGTTCAAAGTGGGAGGGAGGCTGGCTTTAATGTGCCTCAGAACCAGTCTCTCTAGACACTTTGCAACAACAGCTGTAAGTGCAATTGGTCTGTAGTCATTTAAACTGTCTGCAGCAGGCTTCTTAGGGGCGGGAATGATAATGGCTGATTTAAGGCAGGCTGGTACGATGGCTTGTGATAGGGACAGATTAAAAATGTCTGTAAAGACAGCAGCAAGTTCGTAGGCACAGGCCTTGAGTACCTTTCCAAGCACTCAATCAGGGCCTGCAGCCTTTCTTGGATTTACTGACCTGAACACCTGTCTCACCTCATATTCCTGTACAGTCAGTGTCTGGGTGCCTGAAACAGGAGGAGATGTATGTTGGAGTGGAGACTTCATTTCAAAACGCGCAAAGAAACAGTTTATCTCCTCTGCCAGTGATGTGCTGGTGTTACAGCCAGTGGTGGCGCTGCCCTTGAAGTTCGTAATGTGCTGCACTCCCTGCCACACCCGCCTTGTGTTGTTGCCAGTAAAATGTTCCTCTATCTTCCTCTTGTAGGCCAGCTTAGCATTCTAAGACTTCTGACGTCATCTAGGGTTTCTGGTTCGGAAAAACCCGGATGCACTTCTCCTCAGTGACAATGTCAGTACAGCTGGCAATGTAGAACAGAACAGTTTGTGTATATTCTGCCACATCCTGGTGTTTAAATAAGTCCCATTTAGTCCTAGCAAAACAGTCTTGTAGTTGGAATAGTGCTCCCTGAGGCCAGGTTTTATTGGTTTTAGTAGTTGGATTCATCCGTTTCCTGAGGGGAGTATAGGCTGGGACAAGGAACAGTGAGACATGGTCAGATAAACCCAGATGCGGGAGAGGCACAGCTCTATAGCCATGCTTGACACACGATCAAGTGTGTTACTTCCTCTGGTGGCACATTTTACATGTTGTGAAAATTTTGGAAGGACAGTCTTTAAACAAGCCTGGTTGAAGTCACCAGGAATGAGCATACACACAAAGACATACATGAAACACAAGCACCATACTGGTGAGCCAAAAGCCGCTGCACTCATGCGCGCCGCCATCTTGCTCATCTTGCTTTAAAGTTTCTCTGTACTACTTTACAGAAAGAAATGAATAAAGACATTTGTCTTTATATCGAAGACGTTTACAGTTGTGCAAAGTCAAACAGAGGCACAGCAAGCAATTTTTCAGGGATAAGCAACACACAAACGTTGATCCAATAGTGAAAACATCAAAATAGGTTTTCTCCAGATCTTGATTTAGCAGTTGTTTCCTCCTTTTCTAATTTGTGGTAATCAAACAGTCCAAATAATTTATATAATTTAAATTTGTGTGGTGCCATCAAATTTTAGAAGGTATTTATGAAGGAATTTTGTTTGATGCACAGTAGCATGTAAATTAGATCAATGAGCAGAACAATATTTTGCTTTGTCGTGAGAGTTGTCTATGAAATGTCTTTCCTTAGTTTTGGACAGACAGAATCTCTGATAACAGTCGATACACAGTACAGAGTAACTAATCAGGTTAAATTTGTACAATTACCATATCAGTTGTCAAGATTTCTGGTTTGAAGAAATATGCTCCTGCTCCTGCTGCTGCTGCTCCTGCTCCTATTACTGCTGCTGCTCCTGCTGTTACTGCTACTGCTTCTGCTGCTCCTGCTCCTGCTACTGCTACTCCTGCTGCTCCTGCTACTCCTGCTACTGCTGCTCCTATTACTGCTGCTGCTCCTGCTCCTGCTGCTCCTGCTGCTCCTATTACTGCTGCTGCTCCTGCTGCTCCTGCTACTGTTACTCCTGCTGCTCCTGCTCCTGCTGCTACTGTTACTGCTACTGCTCCTGC